AAGGACTGGTGAGGGGGGTTAGAGCTTTGGCTGGCTGGTGAATGAGAGGAGCAAACTTTTGGCACTTGTCGCACTTGCGGACGTACTGTTGGGCCTCCTTTTGCATGCGCGGCCACCAATACCCGTGTGTTAGCGCTCGGTGTGCCAAGGACCGACCACCAGTGTGACTCCCACAGATTCCATCATGGATCTCATAAAGCACATCTTCCACCAGACTTGGATGAACACAGAGTAGATAAGGGCCCATGTAGGACTTCTTGTAAAGCTTGCCAGATGGGGAGAGCCAAAACCGAGAAGCTCTGTGCCTTGTCTTGTGCGCTTCTTTTTTGTCCTTAGGAAGGGTGCCATTCTTCAAGAAGGCCAAGAGTGGGTCCATCCAACTTGGGCCCAAGTCAGTACAGAGAACCATTTCGACTAGTTGAATACTTGGTTGGGGTACATATTCCACCCATATTTTGTGCCCGTCTCTGGAGTCAAACGAGGAACCCAGGCAAGCTAAGGCATCAGCGTGACCATTTCCCTCTCGGCCAATCTTCTTAACTCTGATGGCTTGGAACTTTCTAATCAAGTCTTTGGCTTGTTCTGCATAAGTGGCCATCCGTTCATCGCGAGCCTCATAAACTCCAGAGAGTTGGTTGACCACTAATTAGGAATCACTAAAGACAAGTAGCTCCTTCGTGTTGAAGTGTTTGGTACTTCGCAGGTCGGCTAATAGAGCTTTATACTCTGCTTCATTATTAGAAGCTTTTCAGCCTAATCGGATGGCCTGTTCCCACATGAATCCTTTAGGAGAAATAAGGACAATTCCTGCCCCTGAGCTTTTTTGGTTAGAAGAATCTTCCACAAACAGCTTCCATACATCTCCGATAAAAAGCTTCCATGCTTCGACTAGGGATTGCCCTCTGTGCTGGGCAGTCATAGTGACCAAGGCCGAGCTCCCTTAGGAGGGAATAGTTGGTCCTGGAGTGAATTCTGCAACAAAGTCTGCCAGGACTTGAGTTTTGATGGCAGTTTAAGGCTGGAACATGATGTCAAACTCTCCAAGCTCCACCGCTCACTTCACTGTTCGGCTTGAGAAATCAGCTCAACTGAACACTGACTTGAGAGGAAATTCAGTGAGGACGTTGATGGTATGTCCTTGAAAGTAGTGAACAAGCTTCATAGAAGTAATTAATAGGGGCAAGTATCTAGTTTCGGCATCTAAGAGAGTCTTGCTAACATAATATATTGGTTTTTGTTCCTTTCTATCCTCTCTAACCAGCATTGCGCTGACAACATGATCAGAAACAGCCAAGTAAAGGAAGAGCTCTTCATTGGCGACAGGGGTGGATAGAAGATGAGGTGAGGACAAATACTTCTTCAAATTTTCTAGTGCTTCAGAGCACTGGCTCCCTCATTCAAAGTTTGCTTTCTTCCTTAGAAGTTGGAAGAAGGGCTTCATCCGATCAGAGAATCGACTGATGAAACGGTTAAGTGCTGCAGCCATGCTAGCAAGTTTCTGGAGTTCCTTAGCCTATGTTGGCACTTCGAGGTCTTTAAGGGCTTTGATTTGGTCGGGGTTGGCTTCGATGCCCCGCCTAGTCACCATGTACCCCAAGAACTTCCTTGATCTTACTCCGAATGCATATTTTGAGGCGTTCAGTCGAAGCTTGTGAGTTTTCAGAATTTCAAACACTTGCTCAAGGTCCCTTAGATAGTGCTCGACTAACTTGCTTTTGACGACCATGTCATCAATGTATGTTTCCATGGTTTTACCGAGCTGGTCCTTGAACATTTTGGTGACCATTCGCTGGTAGGTCGCACCAGCATTCTTCAAGCCGAAGGGCATTACTTTGTAGCAGTAAGTGCCTCTAGGGCTGATGAAAGCCGTTTTCTCCTGGTCAGGACTGAACATGGGGATCTGGTGGTAGCCACTGTAGGCGTCTAGAAAGCCCATGCGCTCATGTCCAGCCGTTGCGTTAACAAGTTGATCTATTCGTGAAGGGGGAAACTATCCTTAGGACAAGCTTTGTTAAGGCTAGTGAAGTCAACACAAACTCTCCATTTTCCATTCTTCTTCTTCACCACGACGATGTTGGACAACCACTTCGGGTATTGCACTTCTCGGATGACTCCAGCAGCTAAAAGTTTATCCACCTTTTCGATCACTGCATCAGTTTGTTATACGAATGACCGCCTACTCTCCTGAACAACTGGCCGCGCTCCTAATTGGACGTTAAGTCGATGACAAGCATAATTGGGGTCCAACCCAGGAGTGTCATAGGCCGATCAGGCGAACACTTCGATATTTTTACGGAAGAGAGCCAATAATTGCTCTTTCTCTCCAACAGTGAGGGAAGTGTCGAGCAGGAAGAACTTGTCTGGGTTTCCTTCTTCTACCAAGACCGTCTCTAGGTCTTCTACCATCTTCTCGGTCAGCACTCCGCTAACGTATTCCAAAACTAGCTGGTCAGGTACTTCCACCATCTGCACTTGGTCGCAGACTTGTTTGGTTTTCATGGCGGCAATAAAGCAGTGTTTGGCAGCCACTTGGTCTCCGCGGATCTCCTCTACTCCATACTTGGTTGGAAAGCGAACGAGTTGGTGATAGGTGGAAGGGACTGCCTCCATCTGGTGAATCCAAGGTCGGCCAAGGATGGCATTTTAGGGAGATGGGGTGTTTACCACCAAGAAGTCAACAGAGACCACCTTGGACTTAGCTATGACAGGCAGAGTTATTCGGCCGAGCGGCCATTCTGTTTGCTAGTTAAAGCCAACTAAAGGGGAGGTGGCAGGTGTCAGGTGTTGCTCACTGAGGCCAAGTTTCTTGAAAAGCTCATAATACATGATGTCTGCTGCACTTCCTTGGTCAATCAAGACTCGCTTCACATCGAACTTGTTCGCCACACCAACTGTAACGATGAGGGCATCGGTGTGGGGGTGTTGGATTCTCTCTAGGTCCTTCTCAGTGAACACAACGTTAAACTGGTTTGGCTTCCGTCTTGGACTTTTTAGGAGGAGGTCCTACCGACATTACCTGTTAAATGTGGGTAGCTCGTTGGATTTCTCCTCAAATGGTGTTTTCTCTTTCGGGGTCAGTCATTCCATGGATAACGTTGATGACCAACCTCGGGGCATGGTTCTCTTCAGGAGGGACTTGGTCTAGTCCTTGCTTTTCCCTCGTCTTATCAACGTCTATCCATTGTTGGAGGTGTCCCACCGTAACTAAGTCCTCCAAGTGTTGTTTGAGAGCTCTGCAATTTTGCGTCTTATGTCCTTTCTCTCGATGATAGGTGCAACGCAGTGTCTGATTACGCCGAGCAGGGTCTCCAGGCATCTTAGCTGGTCAGACAAAGAAGGTTTCCCCTTTAAGTTTCTCGACGAGCCTGTATATTGGCTCTTTGAAGACGATGGTGATGCCTTCATAAGACTTGGCCCTTTCCTCCTCGTTTTCTGTTGTGGAACGGTTCCTTTGGCCATAGTTCTTGCGCTGCTCATCCCTCATTGGCTGCTCAGTCTTAGGCGATCGAGGCGGTCTGACTTCTTCTTCAGCAACCGCAACATGTACTGAAGCAGTTTCATCTTCCACACGAGCTTGTTGCTCTATACGAGCCCTCAAATCCTTCATGGTGGGGGCAGGTTGTTTCGTCAACGACTGCCTTAGCTTGTGCGAAGGGGGTAGGCCTTGCTCGAAGTATAGCACAGCCAATTGTTCACTGCAAACATTTTCCTCTAAGTCACCATACTCCTCCCAATACCGTCGCGCGTACTGGCGTAGGGTCTTTTTCCTATCCTTTCGGATATTGAACAAAGTATCTAACTGCTTTGGGACTTTGCTGTTGGAGACAAATCGGGCTAAGAACGCCTCAGAGAGCTGCATCTAGTCATAAATCGAGCCATTAGGGAGTTTGTCAAACCATCGGAGGCCAAGTTCTCCAAGGCTAGAAGGGAAGACTTTGCACATGAGTGCGTCGTTGCGGTTCCAGAGGGACATCATCTGGCGGTAATGGCTGATGTGGGTCAGAGGGTCTATCTTCCCATCATAGAGAATGAATTTCGACGGGCTATACTTCCGTGGAGGTTCTACAGCTTCTATCTCTGGGGAGAAGGGGGTGGACACCAACCAGTCTAGAGCGCGATGCTCTTGTTGGTATATGGACCGATCCAACTGGTCTTTTTCCCTATTGAGCCGGCGTTCCTCCTCCCTAGCTCGTCGATGTTCTCCTTCCCTGCATAGCCGTCGCGCCTCTTCTCTGTTATCATTCAGCCAACTTCTCAAATCGTGTGGTTGCTCGTCGCGACGACAATGAGAGGTTTCAGATAGGCGGCTAACGGTCTTTGCCTTTTATGAGAATTCTCTCGTGGGTTGTTTTTTTGTAGGTTATTCGTCCTATTGCTGGCCCCTTCACTAAATACCGGAATCGGCCGGCTACGCTCTCTGCCAGTTGGGCCACGGCTGCAGTGCTCTTTGCGAGGCAGAGGGGGAGAAGGGGTACGTCTCCTCTGCGATGGTCCACCAACAGATTTTCTTGGCTCCGATGGGGCCGCCATGAACTTCATCAATTGGGAAGCTCAGTGATCTCTAAACCCATTGAGTCGATGATGCGGTCATGGTGGTCTTTCTCAACAAAAAGACGTTGAGACGTCTCAACGGCAATGACACGGCGTCGCTCTGCCGCATTGGGTGTCTGATCGTTGTGGTCCATAAGGTCATCGTGCGCTGGAGGGAATGCCAGACCCTTATCTTTGGTTCTCTCCGTCATTGGAGTCTTCTCTGCTAGCCCAGAGTGGGATGTATCTTCGATTCCCATCGCCGGAGTTCGTCACGAAGCAAACAGTGGTTTTCCCACAGACGGCGCCAATTGTGCGGGGGTGATTTCTGCACTATGAAGAAGGGTTGAACTTCGTAGATGAACAGCAGGCTTTGGGAATTAAAGATCTGCATAGAATAACAAACGGTGAGGCTGCCCGATCGAGGTTTGGTCGGAAACCCCTCCGATGGTAAAGTCAGGGACTCAGGGAGAGGAAGAAGAGAGAAGAGAGAATACAAAGAGTGTATATGTGTTAAGTGTGTGGATTTCGGATACCTTGAGAGTGAATAGTGTTCACCTTTTATAGGAGAAGGTTGTTTGTCATTCAAGTCCTTCTCTCTCCGCCATCTGTCCAATGTGTCTTATTCGTGGTCGTCTCCCATTGGAAGAGGACGACCACTCCGCCTGACACTCGGGTGTAGGTCTATTTTGTTTGTCTCATTAGCGGACATCTCTCATTGGAGGAGGACGACCACTCCGCCTGCTATTCAGATGCAGGTCTGTCATATATACACCTTGTCTCTCTGCACCTCTATGTCTCCACGTTCTGTTCATACAGAGGGAGAGGAGCAGAGTTATTTGTCTCTTGTGGGCCCAAGAAAGATCTTCAGTGAATTGGCCTTCTCTCCGGAAGTGACTTGGAGTCAGGCCGGTCTTAGATTTGGTCCGGTCATGGCGTATTGTTGTTAGGATGGACAGAACCTTGCTACTCGGTAGCTCGGTCCA